TGAAAATTTGTATTAAATACAAATTTAATAAAATTTCAATTAAAAATTATGATTTGTTTTGAGACTTCGCTTCTTTGATTGAGTTCTATGCTAAAAAGAAAATATATAAACTAGCTTAATTTGATCTTAAATAATTATTTCATATATGAATAAAATTGAGTATTAGACATATTTTAAGAATAAATTTAGAATATTAATAAATATGCCAAATATATATTCATATTTTTTTTTATTCTGGTTATAAACAAATTTACAATATTTTTAACATTTTAAAAAATAAATAATTGGGCAATGTGATGGTTGGGCATGAACCAAAATGATTATCTAAAAATTGTATTGATGTATAGCATAAAAATCAACCAAATCCAGTTTTCTATACTACTTTTCACTGTGTTTGGTTTCAGTTTTCTGAAAATTATATTTTTTTATTTTTCGTATTTTTTGTTTTAAGTGAATATTCTTAAAATCTTAAGCAATTTTTTTTCTTTTTTAAATGCACCTTACTTAGATATATTTAAAAAGTAAAAAATATTTATAAACAAATATTTTAAAAAATCAATGAATACACAAGAATAAGATAAATGTACTGAATTTTCATAAAATTTTTTTTTTATATTTTTTGTATTTAGTGAATTTTGTAAAGTTTTTTTTCACAAATATTATACTTTTTAAGTGTATTTACGTTAGGTGTATCTAAATATTAAAAAAAATGCTTAAATTTTTTTTAAAAAAAAGTAATGTCACGACCCAATCCCGATATCCAGAGGCTAGGCGTCACGACAAGACAAAAACATAGGTCAATACCAAAATGTATCAGATTAAAAACACAGCGGAATGAAATAAAAGGGTACCCAAATATTTATTTCATTAAAACATACATTGGAGCTTTTTATTGTATACAATAGTATAACTATATTATATTACAATGGTGCTCTGTGTCTACCCAAGCCCTGGTCCAACTACTCCAACAAATGGACAAGGGAACAAGTTCCTCCTTAAACTTCATCACTTGAAAGTAGTTAACAACTATAAGCCCATGGGAGAGTGAAAAATATTATATTGAGAGCATAAGGGTATAAAATCATCATGGATAATTATTTGGGCTAAACAGAGATTTGTTTGATAATAGAAATACATAAATCATTTTGAATAACAGAAGTATAACGCAGACATCATGTAAACAAATAATCATAATCACGGTACAGAACATAACAGATGTATGGACACATTAGATGGCTCGTACGAATTTAAGAAGTGGCTCCCACAATAGTGTAGCACTTAACTCCGCACAGCACTTCACTCCACACTGGAAATTAGAGGGTCAATAGATCCATAACAATAGAAAGTCACTTAAAATAATAACAAAACCTAACAGAGAGTCATATAAAGTGACAATTTAGATGGTCAATGGTTATTTAAGTCCTCCAAGACATGGGACCTTCGTGGTGGTATTTACAAAATAATTGTGCAAAACTCAGTTAATAAACAGTTGTATTTATGGGTTTCCTTTGTAAACTAATAGGGTTCATTTAACAAATAAGATACTTTAATAACTAATATAAGTTGCAAAATAAATTTTACATAAAACAGTTTATAGTAACTTAAAATATAATAAAATTTACCTAAAAATTGATTCTTTGCTCTTACTTCTGATTTTGCCTCACTCTCTTATATATCCCTAGTTTGTTATTTTTGTGATTTCATTACCATGTAATTCGCCTATTTATAGGTGAGAAAACCCTTATTATGCAATACTATGTTGCACTATGCAGCACAACACATGGTACCACATGTCATTACGCTTTCCATGAGATTTCTTGAATAAACTATGCACAAGTTCTCTATATTCTACTATGGGCCAAAAAATGTTGTAATTACATTTTTTTTTTCAAAAATTAAGTAAATATATTTTGGGGTGTCACAAGTAAAAAAAAAAAAACACAAAAAAATAAAATTCAATTTTCTGAAAAGTGAATCATAAGTTATGAAACAAACATACTTTATTTGATCCAGCATTAGCTCATACCCATCATAATTTAACAAATAATTAAACATAAGCTTAAATTGATTATTGTCAACTATTTTCACTAGTTAACTGATTAATTTTTAAATTGAGCCCAAAGCAAAAATAGTATAAGATCTATATTTTAGGTCGACCTAGTATTATATATTTTTTTATACATAAATATACTTAATTATTTGTGTAAGAATTTTAATATAAATATATAAATTTTTTACAATAAATAAATAAATATGCTAAAAATATCATACATTTTCTTGTTTTTGTTTTTTTTATAAAAAAGTGGGTATTATAAATTGGGTATGAATGAAGATAATTCTCCAATAATTTAATTGTTGGCATAAAAATGATTTTAATCTAACTTCTAAACTACTATTAATGTTTAATGCCCGTACTATCCCTCAAATTTGTTCATAATATTCAAAACCTGAGAAATTATAATATAATTTAAACATAAAATTTAAATTGATTATTACCAAACTATTTCTATTAATTGATTGATCAAAATTTTAAATTAGTTCCAAAGTATAATTAGAACAATGCTCATATTTTAAGTTGACCTTAAATAGTTTTTCACACATAAACAAACTTAACTATTCATATAATAATTTTAAATATAAATATAAAATTATATCAAAATTTTAATTTTTTTTAATAACTAAGCACAAACATGTACATATTTATTATTTTATTATAAAAACTACTAACATGTATTTATTCACCAATTTAATAAATAAATAAGTTAAGTGGTTCATATTTTGGCATAGACTAAGACAATTCTCTAATGATCAGGACATGACCAAGTTGAAATAAATATTGAGTCAATTAGAGTATGTCATTTTTAGTGTCTAGCACAACTATAAATTTTCAAGCCAACTCTTATATATTTGATTATAAAAAGATACTAACATATATTTATTCACCAATTGAATAAATAATGAGTTAAGTGGTTCATACTTAAGTATAGGCTAAGACAGTCCTCTAATAATTAGGTCATGGTCAAGTTGGAATAAATGCTAAGTCAATTAGATTATGTCACTTTTAGTATTTAGCACAACTATAAATCCTCAATAATTTTAAATATAAATATAAAATTTAATCAAAGGTTTAATTTTTTTTAAAATAATTATCCATAAATATGCACATATTTATTATTTTATTATAAAAATGCTAACATATGTTTATTCACTAATTTAATATATAAATGAGTCAAGTGGTTGATGTTTAGGTATAGATAAAGATAAGGGTCCTGTTATGGTGCGCAACCCCTTAAGGTTGCACACCATATGCAACCAACATAAAAGGTGTAAATGGAATGTGTAAACATAAAACAGGACAGCAAACAGAAAGGCGTAAGCGTAAGGTGTAAGTTGCACACTTAAGAAAAGTCCTAAAGGTAATTATCTAATGATTAGGTCATGACCAAGTTAAGATAAATATTGAGTCAATTAGATTTTGTCACTTTTAGTTTCTAGCACAGTTATAAATCCTCAAGCAAACTCTTATTCTTTTGTATTCGTGAATTATGACACAAGAGAAACTATAATTTCATGCCCAAGTAGACATACTTTTAAACTTTTACAAAATATACAATGGGCAGTTAATAAATTAACAAATATAATTTATTATATGATTAAGCTATCTCTGACATAAAACAAACTAAAGCTACGGGGCTAAAATAGTCATAAAAAGACAAAATAGGCTAAAAAACTAATAAGATAAAATATCACACTTAATCCATAATCATTTCATTTTTTCTCTCACAAAAATAAAAAAAAAACCAAAAATTTCATCACAAATGATACGTTTTAGCCCAGTCTAAAATAGTTAAAAATTCAAAAAGACAACCCACATCCTAAACGAACCCTAAATTGTAAACTTATAAGACAAAATGCATAAATTGTAAACTTATAAGACAAAATGCATTTATATTTCATTGTAAAAATAGTTTTTGTAATTTCATTGCACTTTTTTAAAAATACATTCTACCATAGTTTATTTATTTCTCATAAATAAATTTTATGTTATTATTTAATTTTAAAATTAATTTTTAATTATTTATTTAAACCTGTGCATAGCACGAGTATTATGATTTATAAAATAATTTTAAAAAATTACACTCGTGTTATGAAAATTCGTTAAGCAAATGTGAGTACGAGAGAGGAATAAGAAAATAACCTAATGTGAGATGCCAAAACTAGTTATAAGAAAATCTAAAAGTTGTACTTGTAGGTAAATGCTGATTTCGATAATATATGATATCATCTAATATATGGCAAATTAAAATTATGAAACTCTTAGAAAATAATAATGTATTTATATTTTATTATAGGTGTAGTTTTTGTTCTTAAGAATAAAATTAAAAAGTGCAATTTTGTAATTTATCAAAATTTTTGTTTAATTTTTACTAATTACACTATGATTTATATTATTGTTATTTAGAACTTAAAACATAGCATTAAGAGTAGAGGGGGGAAAAAATCCTAAGTGAAATTGTGATAAAAATAATCAAAATTTAATTAATTTTATTTTTTTACTATTTAATTTTAATTTTAAAATTATTTATTTATTCTTTACATGCTTACGCTAGTTTCCATAAAGGAAATATATTTATCAAAATTTCAATAAAAATACATGATCATGCATTACAGAAAGTTCAAACTATTTTTGTATAATATATTTTTATCGAAAAACATTCCTCTATAATAATTTTAACGAGAGAATGTAAATTTTTTTTAGGGGAAATTTTATATCAAGGTAAGACTTCAAAAATAATTACAAATTAATGATAAATTTTATTGTAATTAAAATTATAATTTTTTTGATACATATCACTGGGGTAATTCCAATTTTTTACATGGATTTTAACCATGGTCATTGGGGTTGATTTCTAATGCCATCTTTATATGGATACCCAATTTAGATCGTCAAGATATATGGGCCATATATAATGGGCCTATTGAGAGCCCAAATGATCACCATTGAGAATTGAGCAAACCCATCTTCTCCCCATCATTCAGAGATCTCTCTCTCTAGACCTGAAGAAATGTTGCGGTCACTCCTCAGAGCGGCCGCTTCAGCCGCAACCACCAGACCCCAATCGATTACAGCAACTCCAGCTTCTCAGCTATGGTCTTCGAGAAGCTACGCTTCGAAGACCTCCAAATCATCACCGACAAAGGCCAAGAAAACCACCACCACCACCACCTCCAAGTCCAAATCCAAGTCCTCCGCCAAAGACGACTCTTCCGCCACCGCCGCCGCCACCCCCATCGACGACCTAGAAAACGAGGACCTCCGCGCTCGCCGCCTCGCCGAAGACGAGAACGACAAGTCCCTTGACGTCGGCCCCAATGGCCGACCTCTCTTCACCTCCACACCTTCTCTCTCTCAGCTCTCCCGTAAAGACACTTGCTCTTACATGAAATTCAGGTATTGTGCAGTGTTTTTGTTGTGTGAAGATTTGATGTTTGTTTGTTGTGATTTTGTGATTTGGATTGGTTGTTAGTATGGAGGATTTGAGTGCGGTGTTGCCGGAGGGATTGCCTTTGGGGATGGTGAAGGAGTTCGAGGAGTCGAAGCGGAGTGCGTTGCTCATTCGACAGTGTTTCTTGGACCTTCGTGATAATTTCAGACGCATTGTGGATCCTCCATTGCAATCCTCTGATGGCAAAGGTACTGTTTGCATGTTTCCCCAAAAAAATTTCAAATGAGTTGTAAACTTTAGCCACTTTAATAATTAAAGTTGTAAACTTTTTCATGAATTTGTAAATATTTTGTGAAGGCAAACTGATTTGTTATTTTCCCTTTGAAGAATTTGAATGTTAAAGACAAGAACAGGCAGTTCTGCTTGGAGGTTTATAAGTCATAGACAATTTATTATGTATAATTTAATTGACATGAAGTTTGATAGATATCTAAGTAATGCTAATTACTTACAAGGAGACTAGGTTTGAAATAATTTAGTAATACTGGTAAGAAGAGGAGCCTGAGGTTAGAAATCTGTGTAAAAGAATGACAAAAGGACTTCTGGGACGTTTATGCACACTCTTACTTCAGTGGTCTGAAAGGAGAGAATAAAAGGATATTCGAGCACAAATTTTATACTCTAAGATAGGTGTGCATTAAAGCTTTGGTTTGCATATCCATGAACTAGGGCTTTTTAAAATTATCCCTGGCCCTTGCCATGCAGCATAGGCATTTGAATTGAATTAAAATTTAAAGTAAATCCCTGCAAAAATGTTCAACTGTAAATTATTTAATACTAAACTTAGTTAGAGAATTTTACATTTCACTTTTATCTTTTGTCTCCAAATCATACTTGGGTGCCTTAATCTTTATCAGTCTCACAATTGGATATTTCACACACTGAAATGTAATTGTACATAATCACATGGAGAATGAGCTTGAATTAAAATAAAAAATAAAAGAACAACTTATGCTGATGTTTTATATGTTCAGGTTCAAAAGTTCGAAAGCAAATCATTTTGGACGGTCCTGTTAGCTGTGGAAAGAGTATTGCACTTGCAATGCTCGTTCACTGGGCTCGTGATGAAGGTTGGCTTGTTTTCTATGTACCCCATGGTCGAGAGTGGACGCATGGAGGATTTTTCTACAAAAATCCACAAACTGGTTTTTGGGATACTCCACTTCAGGCAGCAAATGCTCTTCAGGCAAGACAAGAATGTGAACCTCCTTGCTACTAGACATGACTTCAAATTTTAATATAATCTGATGCAGGGACTTTATCTTGTTTATCTATTTTTTTTTAAGTTTTCTTCGAGCTTCCATTTAATATAACTTATCGGAGTATCAAATGCTGATATTTGGCCATTGATCTCATCGAAGATGCATGATTAACTGAGATTCCTTGAGATGCATAAGTCCATTTGATTCATAGTTTACATGTTTATCTTGTCTCTGATTCCATGGAAATAGAAACAAGTTTAATAATACCATCTATGTTGCTGAAAAGAACTTAACAAGTATGTAAGCTGCTAAATCCACGCGTCAATGCTATTTGAGTCTGAGTTGTTCATGCTTTTCTAAAGCCGGCTAAAGGGCTCCTTTTTGCTGGTGAATTATCATCACTTCGATTCTTTTCTTTGATCCTTTCCGATGAATCCTATCTTCTTTAAATCTTGGCTATGCTTACCGCCATGTGAATAAGTCTTGCCGTCTTAGTTTATATTGTTTTAATGCACTTGTCAGATCTATCTAGCAAATTCCATAAGATAATTCTTTTCATTGATCCCCAGTTTTTTTCAGAGTTTTTAGCCTCCCATCTTCCTCTCCCTTCATATTTAGCAGTTTGTGCCTTAATATTAGTAATGCAATCTTGAGAGAGGAAAATTTTCTATGAATAGTTTGTCTTGTAGGTTCTATTTGGATGTGTGCTGAAGAACTTTGTTTTGTTCCTTAACTTCCTCATAATTATCTTCAGGACTTCTTGAAATACAATGAATCCCTCTTACAACAATTACCGTGCCAAATATATGATCCTATCCCATTGGGAGAGGGCATTGGTGTTGGGTGGATGAAAGGGGTTGATACCATGGCAATGCCTGAAGGTTCGACACTATATGATCTCATTCAAACAGGACTCGCTTACACACATGCTGCCGTTGGAGTGCTAGTTCGTTTAAGGAAAGAGTTATCACTTGTAAAAGATATACCTCTCCTCTTTGCAATTGATCAAGTAAGACAAACAGCTTCCTTCAACATTCCATTTTGTCCAGTTCTTATTGTCATGTTTTACAGTACTTAAATCAACTTTATGCAGCTGGTTGGTAGTTATGTAGCTTATTTGTTGTTGCTGCATGTGTCTCCAGTATAATAATTGGTTTACGTTCAGTGAGTATGAGGAGCCAGTAACTGTCCGTTCTTGCCGGCCTTTGCATGCTAGAGAACTTGCAACGGTTAGTTCAAAGTTTTAATTCTGTTCTGCAGATACACTTATGCAATATATATATTTTCCCATTTGTCGAGTTTGTTTAATATTTATTATTTACATACTTTTGTCAACTAACCTTTTGGAATAATGAAGATTACTCATTAGTGGCAATTTGCTTTCTTGCATATATAGAGAACTTTCTCTCTTTCTTCCCCTCCCGTGTGTGTGGCTATATGAAAATAAAACACTACTAGGAAATAACAATAGCTCAAAATCTTGATTGGTTGTTAGATAGACTAGCACATAACTTTTTGCCTTCAACATTTGACTTGCAGTGGCTTGACTGGCAAGAATAATGAAAAAGCTTTTTGCTCCAAATTCTAATATTGGTGTCTTTGTAGGATATGCTAATATCCTTCTAATATTGGGGTTGTTTTGTTTTTTATTTATTTTTGGATAAGAAAGTAGATAAGTATGATAATGTTCATTGAATTTGAAGGAATACATTGAACAGAAGGATGCGGATCCTTCTTGATTTTAGTAAGAAATGACACAAGTAAACCCAAATGTGTTGAAGACAACTCAAGGCTCATAGAAGTGACCCCTCATTGTTAACATTTGAGGAAGCTTCCTTCTAGTTATGCAATAAATCTTCATGGACCAATCTAGGAGGCTTTATGTTACCGTCTCTTTTTGGTAGCTAGCTACATAGCAGTTCTCATATTTTTAAATTGACTTGAGAACTTCGAAGGTTTACCCAGTCTTTTCCTGTGAATCTCGTGCTTAGATCTTCTTTTTCTATTTATTTATTTATTTATAGTTAACAAAGGTGTGTAATATTATTAAAATAGGTAGAAAATGTACAAAAGGGAAACAGAGGAGGACAAGAACTCGTCCAAAAAAGTAAAACCATGTGCTTAGATTTTGGTCATGTCTTTTCATGGATGAGAGGATCTAACACAGAAAACTAGAACTTCAATGCTAAACCTGAAAAGAAGTGTTTGGCAATTTTTTCCTCTTAAGATGATCTAGTCCCCTTTTTGCCTGATCTTTGCATGTTCCTATATTGCTCTCAGTGATAGTATTCTTCTTTTTCCCTGTTGGATGCCATTTTATAATGGTAATGCTCTTATTCTAGGAGCGGGGTAGGTTTGGAATTACGATTGTGTGTTTCATTCTCTCTCTCTCTCTCTCTCTCTCTCTCTCTCTCTCTCTCTCTCTCTCTCGCGCGCGCGCGTCAAGATTAGTTTGATTGAAATTTTGATATGTAGAGTACATGATAGTGAATGGTCACATGTCATCTGTAGGTTAATGCATTTAGGTCTATGATGCACAATGACATGATGGTTGGTGCTTTCTCACACTCAACAGCAGTAGGGAAGCTACGGAAGGACTTGCCAGATGTTCCCACTGATGCTCGCACTAATTTTGCCCGATACAATTTAGATGAAGCTGCTACTGTTTGTCACTACTATGTCAGGTATATCCTTTACATCAATGATTGCCAAACTTGCAATATTTTCTGTTTGTTCAACGTAACTAGGGGTGGTAGTTTCCTGAAAATCCCCATACAGTAGTGTTATATGGACAGAAACTTGTTTATAAATGCCCAACTGAACTTCCCTAACGTCTTTTGCTTGTTCGAGTTTTTGACTAGTTGAACATAATCATGGGTGAAAATATTTTTGTGAACATAAGAGGAGTGCACAACCATCCACTCGACAGGCTGTCCTCGCCCTTCATATGCCACATGACAATTGGCCAACAACCAATGGCAGGTTAAAGGATTTTTCCCAAGAATACTTACAGAAAGACTTTTTTGTCTATTATTGACACAAAAGCCCCATTCCATATACATAACTACCCAAAGGTTTTGAAGATTTCGATAATGACCTAAGGGTGGCCGAACCTTGTACACTCAAAATGCCTAGCCCTATAATCTGTACATTCAATGGCATGTACAAATCATTCATAAACTGCACAAAAGAGTCATCAAATAGATAAAGGTCCTTGCTCAACCAAAAACAAAAAGAAGAGAAAAGAAACGAGTATAGATCCTTTCAGGCTACTGATGAGGAGCTCAACATCATCAAATAGATAAAAGTCCATTCCTTGTTTTGGAATGCATTAGATATTCTTTTTTTCATCACAATTCTGCCAATTAAAAGATGCTTCTTCATGGAACATGTTTGCACAATCTCAGCTTTGTTTACTTCTGTTACCAATGGCAGGCAAAGACTAGTACGGCGTGAAGCATTCTCAGAGGAAGGTTGGAAGAAGATATTCTACCTGTCCAATGGAAATGGATCCGAGATGAGATGGTTGCTTCCTTTCATGAGGTGATCCCATTTGACGGTTTGTTACAAGTAACTAAGATGCATGATAGGCAAAGTTGATTGTTTGCTCTCACAGCTTTTGGCTTTTGATACTTCTTCAGTGGAAAAATAAACGTGATAATCAATGTTTTTTTGATTTCTTGAGTCCAGAAGAGGTCAATGTAGTCAGCTATCAGATATCCATTCTCTTTGTTTACTCTTTTTGGTTGAGGAAGATAATTTTATTGTATCGCTGCCGATTTAATGACTGAAGACAATGTACCATATGTAGACCGATTTTCACATCTACTGAGATCAGTCCCATTCCATTTGTTCCTTCTACATTAATCTTTATAGCTGCTTTTTTGTGTATTGAACCACCGTATGAGCCGTGATGATGATCCCATGTGCTTTGCTTTCTTGTTCCTTCGGAATTGGCTCCTTGTTGATCTACTTGTCATTTTGATTTTTTTTTTTGGTGGGTGTGTAAAAGTGAGGGAAGTCAAACCATTGACCTTCTCTGCAACGGTTTTGGCTAGGGTTAGCCCTGTTTTTGATGATATTGATGTAAGAATGAGTGGTTTATCATTTTCTTTTAAATAATAATTAAAAAAGAGGGACTGGAAGACGTGGCAGGCACACACGAGCAGGCATCAAAGCATATTGGTTATGTTGTTGGACCCAGGTGGTGGGCTTAGATTATCCATGGGTTGGACATTTGGATTTTACTTTTGATCCTCATCTCTAAAAATCCTAGATCTTTTTCTTTCCCTTCCCTTTGAAAACCCTAGATCTAAGGTGGGGGAGGTGTCAAGGGAAGGTCACGGTGGTAGAAGAGGGTTGCGGTGGTGGGGAGGGCTGGAGTAGTGGTCATGGTAGTGGTGGTTGGAGGGGTTGGGTTGTGGTAGTGGGCCTGGAGGGGCTAGGTAGTGGTGGTGGGGGACTGGGGGTGATCATAGGTGTTTTTGTGCACATTGTTCTCTCAATCTGTTTGCCTGTGAGGTAGTGTGTTAGCTTTTTTCCTTTTTTTAAGATAGGAAGGTAGAGTGTTAGCTTGATACACAATGTTGTTAGATTGTGAGCTAATGGGAATGTAATTGTGTGGAAAGAGAGAACGAAAGGAGCAAAGCCACTATTGGGAAGAGAGTGTTTATTTAACAAACAGAAGACTTTGTGCTAAGCCGTAACATGATGTATAGAGTTTGACAACTGCCCAGTATTAGCTTTGGATGGATGGCAAAGGATAATATTCAGAACATCAATTTTGAAGACACTTCTTACTTTGTCAATTCACCGGTACACGACTGGAAATCCATGAAATACAAACACAATTCTCCAAGTCATTTAATTCTCAGATTAAAAACAAAAACAAAAAAGAGACCAATTTCTTCTAATTGCAACGAGATTGAATAATTTACTGTATTGAGAAATGAATTGTTGACTGAAGAATGATAAATTGATAAAAAAATATCTATACTATAACTTGTGCTCAGCTGGATCAAAAACACGATTATGGCAAGTTGTGTCACAAGGATAAGGGCAATCTATCTTTTGGAATGGACTCCGGTCATAGTACCAATCACCAACTGCCTTCGCAATTGTCTGCCAAAAAATAATAATAAATAAATAAATAAAATGTTCAAGTAAGAAATTAGAGTTCAATAAACAGAAAAATAAAAAAATAAAAAAAAAATCAAGAAAATATGAAAAATAGAAGGGAATAAACACAAGCCTCTTATACCGTTCCACTGAGTACTGGAGAGTCATCCCTCAGCCATGTCTCTTGCATTTCTGTCTGGCAATGGGCATAACAAGAATTGATGAACATTCCTCTAGATGAAGAGTTGCCAAGTCCCGTCAATGCACTTAGAAACTCCATCCTGAAATCTGAAAATAAATGCAAAAATAATGTTATAAAATGAAATGTCAAAGGTCTATGCTTTTGTCAAAGACTGTAGATTACTAAAGATGATAAAAAAATAAAAAATAAAAAATAAAGACAGCAGAGGGTTTTCGAGGAAACGGAGAAATGTTGTGTTTTTGGTTTTGTTTTTTGTGTTTTCAGAAGTAAAACAATGAAAAGTTCAAAAACTCCCACTATTTTCATTAAATGCGAAATGATTTTCAAAAATTAGAAAACAACATTTTGGTTTTTGTTAAAAAAGTTGTTGATTTCAGATAATTGTTGGGGAAAACAGTTTTCAGAAACAGTTTGCGACAAAAGTTTTCTGTAATTTGCAGAAAATGTAAACAAAAAATAGAAAATGAAAACTCAATCAACCAGACCCACTACTCTTTTTGGGTTTCATAATCAGATTTTCAGAAAATGAAAACAAAAAATAGAAAATGAAAACACAATCAACCAGACCCACTACTCTTTTTGGGTTTCATAAACAGACTTGGAGGATTTAGGGAATGCACCATGAAAACCTAAAAACTTAAACTGTAGAAAAACTATAAGGACCAGAGAAATTTCTGAAATTCCTAGTTTGGTAAACATATTATAAAATAGTAACCTTGCATGGTTTTGAGTTGATCAGCTGAACATTTAGTTATGTTGAGCTTGCAGTTATGCCAGTAGCCATGCGGATCAGCTACACCCGGTGCCAAAATGTTCTTTACCTGAATTATTATAAAAATATAAAATCAAAAATCAAAGACTTGAGTAAAGCAGAATCAAGCAATAAATCAATAAATTGAAAGGACAAGAAAACAGCATTAAATTGACGAAAAATATAAAATATCACAATTGTGTTCTTCATGTATGTTAGTATGTTACAACCAGTTTGTAACGTCTTTAGGTCATCTGTTATCTTCAAATTGAAATCCCAAGAAACAAAGTTAAAACCTAAACAATCATGTTTGAAGAAAGACATTATTATTTTTTGTTCAATGCGCGGGAATCGATAATTCTTTTGTTTGAAACTTCCTCTTTCTATGTTGGGAATTATGTTTTCCTAGAAAGAGTTAAATGTATCAAAACCTTATATATTTCACATTATGCATGTATTTTAAGAACCAGACCGGTGTCTCTGGTATATCTATATGATAATTACAACATGCAAAACATGCCAAAGCATCAAATTCCTACTTCTAAAATCCATTTATTAAACAAAACCCAATCTTGTGAGAAAATAATGTAGTAATGAATTCCACAACAGAACAATCAAAAAAGGTTGAGACACGAATTTTCAAATTCTCATGTAAGAAACGAGAAGTTTGGCACATTTATATAAACCATCATCATAAACTTGAGCATTTTTTTTTTTATTGAAATGAATGAGCTAACCTGCCATGAATCATAGGCTGCGTTTACCAAAAAAAGCGGAGTTTGAATTTGTTGTGCCATGTTTTGTGGGAAAAAACACTGCAATGTAGTTTAGATGTATTGGTAAGACAGCACAAGTTTAGAAAAATTAAGGAGAGTGAAACTTCCATTAAGAAAACTACACTTACCAAACCAGGACTCATTTTTGAAGTGCAGGATACGGGTAAATTCTTAGCTGATCCCTGCATCAGAGATAAGTAAATATGGATTCTTGAAATTACATCTCTTTGGATACAATAGTTCTTCTACTTGCACAGAAACCAATCACAGAACCGGAAAGATGGATTCCACCATATGTGAGAAGCTTGTGTCTGATTCTGCAATCGGTTTCAGTGTTCATAGACTTTTTTTTTAATATAAAGACGGGGGAAAATTAACAACAATGAAACCATTTTCATTCCCCCGGGGAAAACAAAGAAAATAAAAGTGAGCGAGGGTTTTAGGAGGAAACAATTATAATGTAAGGGAGCGTGAACAAAATACGGAGTTAAAACCACATATACCATAATGGAAACATCATACAAGTGAGAGAGAGAGAGAGAGAGAGAGAGAGAGTACGTGTGTTGTAACTACATCGTTGTAGAAGGCTTCAATGTGTGCTGCTCCGGAAACATCCTTCCTGTCACACAGCACCATCGCTTTTAGTTCTTTTAGTTACACAAAACAAATAAAAATCAAACAATTATTGCATAGTTTAGGAATATGATTATGATAGCAAGTCATATACAAGAGCTTACGCATTGATAAAATAACCAGCATCCGAAAAGCATTTTACTTTAGCACTTGTGGGTACTAGAGCTCGAAAATTATCACAATGCAATATGGAAGTCAACCCACCAGCTGAACAGCCCGAGAGAACAGCCTGTTCAAACAAGATTTAGAAGCTATTAAGAACAAGGGCGATGAAGAACAGGCTTGGAAAATTATCACAATGCCAGATACGTAACGTATGACTCGTACATTTTCAGCATTCTTCATTCCTTTTGCTAGAAGATCATCAATTATAGCAGCAAAAACCCGTGCACCTCTGTAGTGAAGATTAGTAGCCTGATACAATTGGCCTATAAGTAGAAAGCCTGGCTTTGTTCTTTTGTTATAATTCCTTAAATTGAAGCCATAGATTCTGATCGGAATGAATTATAACTTACAGGGTCAACTGCTTCCACATCGCCTGTAAATGATGCCCCATCACAGTACCTAACCTTGATCCTATTCCAATTATAGAAATCTGGATACCGAAAGCGTCAATTTCATCATATGAAATTTCAGAAGGGAAAATGAAATTCAGATCAGTAAAATATCGGGGCAAACCTGGATTAAACTTTTGCTGGTTGCTCAGTATCCCGGAGAAAACAAGCTGAACCGCCATTTGCTTGGAGGAACCGAGACGAGTGTCAATGCGGGAAAGGCAAGTTGTGGCATTGTTACACCAGCCTCCTCCCTGAAAATACAAAGTAGAAAATGTCAACTCATATTACCACAACGCAAGTTATCCAATTCAAAACTAGTAATTACCACAACGAAGGAATGATCAATAACATAATTTCAATTATTCAATCACCATATCAATTCATTTGTCAAGAAATCAAAATCAGTATCCACTATTTGCTTGCCAAGAAAATGCATAAAATTAACACTCCTTTTGTTTTGACGGAAAACAAACATTTTCTAGAAAATATTTTCAATACAAGAAGTTTTCCTATGTTTGGTTGCGACATTGAAACTAATGTTTTTGATGGTTGTGTTAGTAGTGGTGTTGGTGGTAGTATGGTTGCATTGGTAAGCCTTCAATCAAGAAAGCGTTATCCAAATTTCAAAAGTGGGAAAAAATTTCCTCCCAAATGGACTTGTTTAATGTTGATCACGGAAAATATTCTCCGTTAGACTTGCACTTTCTATCATACCAAACCCTAGAAAATGTAAAAACATATTTTCGCCGACAAACGGAGATTATGTGGCATTGAGTACTCAACAATTCTTATTTATTTTTTCAATTATCTTCTTATTAACCATGAAATTGATTATATATACTGTAAAACACAAAGTTTGATGAAGGACCAACCTCAATATGAACCAACCAATTGTTAATTCCCGCTCCAAATCCCTTATCAAGATGGTACGCCGGTGGACTTCCATCCAAACAAACTGAGTGCAATATCAGAATTGAAGAAGAACATTACGATGAATATTGTTAAAAAAGGAAAGAAAGAAATAAAATAAAATAAGTCAATTTAATTATTTTATTGCAAAACAAAAAAAAATCACCTGCTCCTTTTGCAACAGCATTCTCAACATAAGTTATTCCAACATTGAATCCTTCTGTTTTCAGCAAGATCATTACGCAAACTAGTATTTGTAACCATTGGCTTATTCTCCCACTGTTCATTCTGCTAATGGGGTACTCATCAACATACGAAAATTACATTCAAAAATATAAAATTTAGAAAAGAATAAAAATAAAAATAAAAAATAAAAAAAAGAGCATACCATCTAGAATCATCATTAATGATAAAAAAATAAAAATAAAAAACCCAGATTCATGGGTTATAAAAGGCAGATCTACCCATCTTCTTTTGTGTATATGTAAACGCCAGAGAATCCATTTTTTTATTCCATTTTATCTATTGGGAAATATAAAATAATCAACCAAAAGTTCAATAATAGGATAAAGTACACTGAACTCCCCTTAAGTTTAGAGAAAACACAACAAACGTCACAATTTTGACATAATTACACCAATCTCTTCTTTTAATATAAAACTTCTTTTAATATAAAACTAAAAGAGCAGAAATTAAGACAAATAGTGTGAATACATGAAAATAAATAAAATAAAATATACATTTGAGTATAAAAATATAAGAACCTTTTAAGTAAGCCAAATCTAATTATGCTTAACTAGTGGGGTTTACCAAAAATCAATTAAATCCCTATATGCAACATTTTCCTTCGAATAATACTAGAAATCTAAAAATTCTATCAAAATTTTTATCAAATGTCTTAGCGTGGGACACACACATGTGAGTCCATGTGAGTCTTACGCCTACGTGACATTTATGATGTGTTTAGTTGGAAGATTTGGAGAGAAATTTGGAAATAAAAAGAGATAATATGTGTGAAACTAAGTGAGATATATGTATATTTTATTCTTATTACCTATTTTTTCTTTTTCCCTTTCTAAATCACTTATCAAATCTCCAAACCAAACACAAAATTAGTAGAATTTTTAGAGTTTATAGTATTTTTGTTTTCCTTATATATGTTATGGAGAAAACTTTACCTTTTCAATTACGATGAAGAAATGTGAATCCACGAAAGGAATCTACCAAACCACCTTGGTTATTGGAAAAAACAAAACATGTTATTTTCACAACATTTTTATCAATGCATATCAATATTTTAGATGTCCAGTACTATCATCACATATCTACAGATAAGACAGATATACACACATACATATGATACAAATGTTTTGATCTGCTAATATAAATGTTCATTTGGGTTTTTGAATTTTGCCTCTATAAAAGCAGATTCGAGAGAGAAAGAGAGTCAAGTGCTCATATGGATTACCTGGAACGTGAAGAGAGAGAGAGCGTGAATGTCTTTGTTTTAGAGAGAGAATGTGAATCGAACCCAGTTCAGCATTTAGATCTTTGCAGCTCCTTCGTATATATATATATTTGTGAGTGAAAGACAAAGCGGCCAAGTTTGGTTTTACTCCACCGACACACATTCGCATACAGACACAAGCTGCCCAAACCAAAACAAAAGAAAAGGTTACCTCAATATCAATTCAACGACACAGAAAAATTGCACACCAAAGTCTCTTTATCGGTTTACGCGCTTCTCCTTAAGCTGTGCATGTAGTCTAGTCAAGTCCGCAACTACCATCACCATCACCCTCTTTATTTTTATTTACGGTATTTCATATATTAATTACAACAATGATTCATCTCCCTTTTCTTCCCACCCCGTTTGACCCCATCTCTCTCTCATTGATTACCTTTTCTTTTTCTTTTTCTTTTTTTTCCTACTCCTCCAATCACCACCCGCCACGTGGCAAAGGGGTGAGGGGTGACCCCCAAAAGGGTCCCCAAGCATTATTCTATTAATTAATAGGTAAATTATAAAAATACTCCTAAGATTAGATTAAAATATAAATTATTTTTGTAATTTTAAAAATTACATTTCACTCATCACGATTTCTAATTTTATAATAAATCATTCTTTTTATTAATAAATTATCAAGTAATTAATAATTTTTAATGATGTTATAAATATATTTCAATTAATAATTTAAGTGATTTTATTATCGTATATGAGAGTAATTATGAATTTCTTTTTTTAATTAATTTTGTTAAATCAAATTTTTTATATCATGAAAGAAGTATCATGAAAAGTCTTCATGAAGATTCTTCACCATTGGATTAGTTTATAATGCTTTTAGTGTTTTATTGTATGTTATACAATCACTCTTAGATTTGTTTCATGAAACTTTTCATGATAATTATTTCATGATATGTAGCATTACTCTATTTCTAATTTCATCAATTATATAAATTATAAATATCTAAAATCTTTAAAATTATATCATATCATCTGTTAATATATTAATTAATATATATAACATTATTCTTTTTCTTTATTTATCACACACAGTATCCTATCATTTATTTATCTAACTATTACATGATTATTGACGCATTACATAATCTGTCAAATCTTAATCATTAAGAGTTATTGTAGGGATGTCAAATAATTTATCAAATTTTCTACTGAACCTCTAATATAGATGTGAGATTCGCACGCGTAAAATTTGTGTGAATTTCACTCTATGTAGAAATTTTAATAAATTATTTGAGGCATAACATTTTTCAATTATTAAACATGATCACTGTGTAATTATTTGTCTGCATTAGTATGGGTATGGGCGGCCATCCACATTTTGGTAACCAGCTGTTATAAATTCTTGTGATGTTTGTACCGACGTCACTAAATTATTGATAAGTATTAGTTTAAAATTTTAAATTAAAATAATGTATAAACTGGTTAGGTAAATTATTGATATTGTAAAAGTTTTGAATGAGATTAATGGAACACATTTAAGTACCAAAATGTTAGAAGCACTATGTATGGTGTTATTAACGAAAGTGGTAAAATGACCAAATTATCTTAGACTTAGTTTGAGAAGACTAAATAAGTGTATTTTTTGACTTTTTATGAAATATGGGTTGAGTTTGGGTTGGGTTTAAAGTGATGTGTTAGAGAGGTGATGTAACTTAAATAAATTGATGTGATTTAAATAGGATAGTGACTTTTTAACTTTTTGTCTTTTTTCAATCATGTCAAACTTAGCCTTATTCTTTTTATATTTCACAAACATGTTTTCTATTTGAATCTCATGGAAAATCATTACAAATTAAAAAATGTATATTTTAAATTATATCACTCTTTTATTTAATTTTTTTATATCATTTCGTAAAAAATATTAAAAAATTAATTAAAATAATCAATTCTTAAACTAGGCTTATGATAATAAATTTATTATAAATCTTAACTTAAGCCTACCTCTAATGGATGATATACAATTTTATTGAGTACGGTACTCGAGTTCAAGTTTTACTATCATACCATGCAATCCTTAAATGTTAATAAAAAAAATTTAAAAAAAAGTTTAAACGCCCGCAGAACCATTGTATGTTTGAATTGGTCTTTTACATAAGAATGTTAAACCAATTAAATTATTTAAGTTTGATTTGTTAAAAATTTGTTTGAAATCAACTTATATAAACAAAGTTTAGATACATTTTAAAGTCCAATAAATTTATAGCACAAACTTAAACAATCTATTGACTCGCATTATAAACATCAAATTTGACATGGGTAAGCCCATAAAAATTATAACCCACCATTTAGGACCCAATACATAACTCAAATATTAAATCTCAACATTGTTGAAGCCCCACGTAGCAATAAAAACCAATGACAGCGACACACATGGTAAGAGAAGGGCAAGTCGCATAAGCAGACAATGATCTGCAAAGTTATTGTCACTGCACATCGCCATCAATGAAGCCCCTTACAGCATTTATTGCGATAATCCCTCTCCGTCGAGATAGAACGTCTTCACCATGAACAAGGTAAGCTAGAGCATAGACTTTCGGCCAAGGTGACAGGTCGGAAGGGACAACGAAATGATTACCAGATGATATAAGCAGACGTCGAAGACAAGAAGAAGGTTAAGTTTTTCTATCTCTAATCTATCTACACGTTCCACTTCTCTCTAACTTGCTCGTCGGAGGGTTCGCCGGGGGACTCCTCGTTCCCCGTTGAACTCTTGTGCAGGTCTTTTGGTGGGCTTGGTCATTCGGACATAGGCTTGAGGAGCGTGGATCAGTCCGACCCGTTCCATTTGGAACCCATTGTATCATCAGCTGGCGTGGTCTGTGGGAAGCGTTTTTGTTCCGTGCGCCAGTTGTGCTCATTGTCGCCGGAGATCCTCTCCCAATAACCCCATCCTACCACCTATGAAGGTAGATGGTTACAACTAGATCCATAGCTTCTCACCCCAATGTTCCCGATCATCAAGCCGACCTCCCCAATCCAAATAACCCACCACAGTATTTCACCGAGCTCACCAACAGCATTAACCGCTTGGCCGAGCAAAACCAAGCCCTGATTAATGCTTTACTCCAAAGAAACCTTCCTATGCCTCCTCCACCACCTCCAGATATCCCACCCAACCAAGAACGAGGCCCGAGCCATACTATCCAGCAGCCTAATCCACCCAACTTGGAAGGCTTGCAACCCTCTCCCCCAGGTATAAACTTGCCACCCTGGGGCCCACATCCACCGATCCTGGCACCCACCCCTAAAGGGGAGGCCAGCAGCATCCAGCCCCCGCTGCTTTCCGGTGGTGACAACATTCCTGTCTGGGATGCAGAACTCCGAGCCATTAACCTCCAGCTCCAAGGGGTCATGCAGAACATGCAGCATAAACCATCTACCACAGCCAACTCCCCATTTGTTGCCTCCATCAGGGACAAACCTCTACATCCTAAGTTCAAAATGTCCACAATCGACTCTTTTGACGGCACAACGAACCTAGTCGATCACTTGGAGACTTACAAAACTCTCATGATCCTCCATGCATTCCCCAATGAAATCATGTGTCAGGCTTTCCCCATGACACTCAAGGGGTCGGCTCGACTCTGGTTTAGTCAAATACCAGCACACTCTGTCTCCACCTTCCAGTACCTCAGTGATTTCTTTCTTAGCCATTTCATTGGAGCCCAACGCCAGCGGCGTCCGGCAACCCAGCTCCTCGACATCCGTCAGACTGAGGGGGAGTTGCTGCGCAGCTTTGTCACATGCTTCAACACCGAAGCCCTGCAAGTGACGGAAAACGATGACAAGGTTATCCTCACGGCTTTCATGGCCGGCCTACGGTCATCTGATTTCCTTCTCTCCCTCTCAAAAAACCCCCCGACCTCTATGGCAACCTTTATTTCCAAAGCCCAAAAATACATGAACGTAGACAGCGGCGTCCGGCAACCCAGCTCCTCGACATCCGTCAGACTGAGGGGGAGTTGCTGCGCAGCTTTGTCACATGCTTCAACACCGAAGCCCTGCAAGTGACGGAAAACGATGACAAGGTTATCCTCACGGCTTTCATGGCCGGCCTACGGTCATCTGATTTCTTTTTCTCCCTCTCAAAAAACCCCCCGACCTCTATGGCAACCTTTCTTTCCAAAGCCCAAAAATACATGAACGTAGAAGATTCCCTAGCCACTCGCCAAGACCCTACAGCCAAAAACCCGACTCTCAGAGAGAAGAGAAAGGATTCGGAAACCAGACACACCCAGTACAATAACCAAACACCTCAATATGCCGACCGACCCTCCCGAACCGACTAGTCGGCACCAGCCTGACCGCCCGGCCGATTCGAAAGATACACACCCCTCAACTCCTCCATGGAACAAGTCTTGAACCAGATTTAGCGAGATTATCCCCTCAAATGGCCCCAACCATCACTGTCTCCTTCCAATCGGCGAGACCAGTCCACATATTGTCGTTTTCACCAAGACCACGGTCATAATACCGAGGAGTGTGTTAACCTTAAAGATCAGGTCGAGGGCTTGATACGTCAGGGACGTCTCAGTTGGTTCACGAAAACTTGCCCTCAGCAAAGGCAAAGGACCGAACACATCAGAAACAACCGCCGGTGCACTCCTCCTCGACAACCAGCACAACCCAACCCCGGCCATGATCGCCCTCCGCAACAACCCCAAGCACAAGGTAACCCCGCCTCCCTTGTTGGAGAAATCAGAGTCATAGCAGACAGGCTTGCATGTGGAGGTCCATCCCGCTCGGCTCAGCGGGCAGAACTCAGAAAAATAAGACAGGGCTCAGACAAAGAAGTTGCCACATTAGACCGACCTTCCAAACAGCCCAAGCAGTGGATGGAGCCCATCACCTTTACAGAAGCCGACTACACAGGCATCCGTTACCCTCATAACGACCCTCTCACCATTTTGGCCATCCTCTCCAACTACAAGGTCAGACGGGTTCTCGTCGACAACGGCAGTTCTTCAGACATCATCTTTCTGAATTATTTCCGCCAGCTCAAGATCGGGGAAGAAAGTCTATCCCCTCTTCAAACCCCATTAGTCGGTTTCACCGGAGATCGGGTGACCTCCATTGGCTCCATCAACCTCCCCATCACCATCGGAGAATACCCACGGCAGACCACCAAGTT